TTATATATATGAAATGTATTATATATATGAAATGTTTTATATATATGTAAAATGTGTTTATTGTGTAAATAAGTTCTTTTCCATTTCTATTTTATTGAGTTTTGTTTTGTTTTTTTTAAATCAGGAATTGGTGTCAAATATCTTTTCTGTATCTGGTATTATCATATAGTTCTTTGTTTCTTTTGTTGCTCACTTTTCTAATATTGAACCATCCTTGAATACCTGTTGTGAAAACCGTACTTTGTTATTTAGTATTATTTTTATATATCGTGGAATTCTATTGGCTAGGATTTGTTCATACATGTTTCATCTCTATTCATAAGATAAATTATTCTATCATTTTCTTTGTTAGTGACGTCTCTACCTGCTTTGGCATCAGAATATGCTGATTGTTTTGCCTAGACTTTTCCATAATTTTCTACACTCTAGAATATTTTGAGTAGAGTTGGTGCCAGCTCGTCTGTGAATATTTGGTCAAATCGACCAGTGAAGGTGCCTGAACCCTAACATTTGGGGTGGGAGATTTTTAATGACTCAATCGGGATCTTCTTTTCTTATTGGTCTCTTCAGGTTTTCTTCTTTCGTCTGACTTAGTTTAAGGACTTTGCTCCTAGGAATTTCTCGCTCTCTTAAATTTTCAAATTTGTTGAAATACAGTTCTTCATAGAAGTCTATTCTCCTTTTCATTTTAGTTGGCTCTGCTGTGACATTGCCGTTTCATGTGTGTGTTCTTGCATCTTTAACTTCCCTTCCTCTGTTAGATTTGTAAGTGGTTTGCCAATTTATGTCAATGATTTCAAAGACCAAACTTCCTGCCTTGTTTCTTTGTATTGTTTTCTGCTTCATTTATGTAAGGCTCTAATCTTTATTGCTTCTTTGTTCTGGTGGTGGTAGCCTTATTTTGTTTCTCTTTTTATAATTATTGGAGATGTTTGGATAAGATATTGATTTTGGCAAATACTTCTTTTTTATGGCGTGTATTTACTACTATACATTGACCTGTGCACACTGATTTTCCTGTGTCTCAAGGTTTTGGCAAATTGTGTTCTAATTTTCATTTGATTCATGGAACTAAAAATGTTATTTCTTTTCATATGTAGTAGTTTTTAAGCAGAATGCTATTCAATTCTCATATGTTTTATTCCCCTCCCCCTGTTTATCTTTTTGTTGATTTCTAATTTGAAAACATTTTAACCTAACAGTGTTTTTTGTAATGTTTTCATGTTTTTAAATTTATTGAAGCTTGCTTCATGATCTACCATATGGTCTATTCTGGAGAATGTTCCATGTTCACTTGAAAAAAGTGTGTTTTGTGTTGTTGTTGATGGACTGTCTACATATGTCTATTGAGTTTAAATTGTTCGTGTTATTTTATTCTTCTGATTCTTTATTGAGTTATCTTCCAGTTCTTTCCTCTCTGAAAGTGATATATTACAGTCTCCTACAATTACTGTAGAGCTGTCCATTTCTTTATCCAATTAATGCATTTTGAGGCTTTTTCATTTGGGGCATAGATACATATTATGGTTATGTTCTCTTGATCAATTGACCCTGAAATTGCCCTCTTTGTCTCTGATACTGGAGTTTGCCTTAAAACCTAACCAAATAGAGAGAGAATTTTTTTTAAACCAGCAAAAATAAATACAGTTTAAACAGGAAAATAAAATAAAACCATCAGACAGGCAAATAACAGCAAGAAAATGAATTTAATGCTATAAGAACAAAATGACAACATGCTTCCTTAGATCCACCTTTGTGGATGTTAATTTTGAACTGAGTTCTACTTGTAAACTCTGTGTTTCTTGTGGTTCCAGTCAAAGAAGCATCCGGCAACTTTTTGGATGTACAGCCAAAGGTGCTTGAGTCATTAAAGAAAAGAACAAAATGAAAGGATGGTAACATCAAAGGTATTGAGAACTGGTATAAAATGAGAGAAAAAATGCAATTATCACAATTATATAGGGGATAAAATAATCAAAAAAGAATAGCAGAGAAAGATATGAGGAAAAAGAGAAATAAGTAAGAAAGTGAAAGGTAGAAAAGAGGGAGAAGAAAAGAAAGTGGAAATTAAAAAGAAGAGAGAGAGGGGCCAAAAAAAGATAATGAAAAACAAAAATTTTTAAATGTTCTAGCCAAGGAGCTCATGGGGCAGTTAGTCAAGAAGGAGGGTGATCAGGCCTAAATGGAGTTTCTGTAAGCCTGTATGCTCCCTGGGTCAGAGGACTTGATCCCAATGTTGCCTGGGTGGACTCGGATGGTACCTGTGGTCAGGGGGCTGGTTCCTGCAAGGAATTCTTTGAGGTCCAGAGCGTGATTGGAAGCGGGCTGGCTGATTAAGAAATGAGTTCTTGCCCATCCAAGGGTGGACAGTGGCCTTGCACTTTGCACTACGTCTGATGAGTGGGGTTCTTGCCCATCCAGGGGTGGACAGTGGCCTTGCACTTGGTAGTATACTGGTCTGAGGAGGGGGCCGCAGTGCCTCCAGACACAAAAGTTATACACCTGGTGCCTGATCCAGAGGCTCCACAGGAAGCTGTTCTAACCTTAGGCAGGAAAGGAAGTGTGTTAGGATGGGGTGGAGGAGGGTCACTGCGTGCAGGATCGGTAAACATTCCAGGTAATCATCCAAATCTGCTTCATTTGGTCTCTGGCTTCTTTTCTATGTAGAGGCTACGTAGTGTCTCTGCCTGGTTTGCCATCTTACTGGCAGTCTCAGCTGGAGACTCAGTCCAGATCCAAGGAAAATAACGTCTCCAAAAGTGGCCTAACCATGTTTCTGTTCATAAAGCCTTACACTGAGCCCCCGCGCTTAATGCCTACTTCTAGTGGATTTTAAAGCCATTCACCATGAGTCTCAGTTAAAAAAAAAAGGCTATTTTCTTGACTCCCTGGGCATAATTCATGTAAAAATTGTTGGCAAAGAAACTGCAAAGCGAGATGACTGACCACCCATAGCCTGAGTTCTGTCACCTCACATCTCCAGAGCCGTTTATTTGGTTAAAGCCATGTGAACTCTTACTCTGAATAATTTACTGAACTATTGAGCCACTTGTAAAATAATTGAAGCTGCTGGACTCTAGTTTTGCATAACAGATTTAATCTGGAGCAAGATGTATTAGCAAGATCTCAACCTCTACTAATAGAAAAGGTAGTGGAGAAGCTGACAGTTTTTCTCATAATGCACACATATGTAAAGCGGTTTTAACTGGTCATTCTATTTGGCAATGACTCCATCCGACCCCAACTGTGTTCCACCAGAGAAGAAAAGAAAGCGGAAATGGTGGTAGAAGTGGGTCGATGCTAAAATGTGAGAGAATCCCATTGTTTGGGGAAATGAGGGGAGCAGAGAAGGTACTCACTTATAGGATAGGGTATTTTGACAAGACCCAAGAACCTAAAGATCTGTAGAAATTTACCTGCGGGTGGTGTGAGTTAGGGACAAAAAGATTAGCACTATTGGTACAAGGAAAGAAGGTGTCTGCTCACCTGACTCTGGTGTCTGCTCACCTGACTCTGCATCCTGATGGGACAGCACCTGGGGTAGTTTTCACAACCAGACCCATGGGGCAGGGTGTCCCAGATAACCTAAAGAAGCCAATAATCAACATTATTAAACTGTAGAGAAGAAACTTCAGCCACATCAGCACAATTTTCCACTTAATTTTATGCTTCCTGTGTTATGAAACTATTTTAATACATACATTAACAAGATGTGGAAAATACAGATAAACATAAGAGAAAGAAAACCAGAAAGAAAAAGCAGAAATCATATACGATCACAATAACCAGAAATGCTCGCCCCTTCAAACCTTAACACACGTTATAAATGGTTTATAAAATTGAAACCCTATGAGCTTATAAACCACTTTTCCTATCCTATTTTTACAATTAGCAATGTCTGTTAGCATTGTCTGGTATGTCTATACAATGGAGCCCCGGGGGTAAGGGTTGGATTGCAAGTCAGAAGTTTGAAACCACCAGCCACTCCATGGGAGAGAGGCGAGGCGCTCTGCTTCCATAAAGTTTTACCGCAGGGGAAACCAGAAGGGGCCGTTCTCGTCAGTCCCACAGGGTCACTGAGTCAGGGACGAGTCACACCAATGGGTGTGGTTTTGGTGACTGCTGTCTACACACATAGACCACAGCCGTTCTGACTTCTTCAGCACACATTCTTGAAAGTATGCTTGCTGGGACCAAGAAAGTCAGGGATTTTAAATCTAGGAAACAGAAGGCATAGCCGCTGCCTTTAGAGACTTGCTGGCTTATTTGGTGAGGGCAAGACCTGACTCCCATCTGCCAGGGGCAGCTAGGACCCAGAGCTGAGGATAACGATGGAGAAGGGAAAGACCCTTCTAACCATCCCAGGGTGAGCTAGTGGGTGCCTCTCTCCCAGAGCATTCCTGTAGTGTCTGAGGGGGGCTTGGGTTAGAGGGGGTTTGGAGCCAACAGTGGGAGAGAGAGGGACCCGTGCTCTCTCTCATTCTGCTCTGTGATAGCGCAGTCCATCCAGCCGATGGGTGCAATAATTATGATATAGAATCTGGGGGATCTGTTTATATGGCACACTTACTAAATCAGGCTTTCGAGATGGTCTTTATAAAAGCAAACCTCATCTTTGATCTCTAACAATGCAGAAAGGTAGAGGGTAGAAGAGGAGGGAATCGAGCCCATGTATGGAAATGCACTCAATTGGATCAAAATGCAAAAGCAGCTCCTGTTTCTGATTATGAGTCTTTGTTCCCTGGCCGCGGCTGTCCTCCACCTTGCTGGAGCCTTCTGGCCACTCTCGTTGTGTTTGTGGAAGCCGCTCACTATCATTACGAGTTAAAATGCACAGTCACCTGAAGAAAGCTGTGACAGCGCTGGACTGAGACAGAGACTCCTTCGCCCTTTTCCCCTCCGTGGATTCTAACAGATCTGTTTTTCCTTCCTTTCCTTTTGTCACTCAAAATGAGTGTCTAATGTACTCGCATAAATTGTTAAAAGCAGTTTTAGGTAAAGGAAGAGAAAGTAAAGTGGAGGGATTTCTTTCCCTCTTTCTCTCTCTCTCTCTTTTTTTTTTTTTTTTACAAAAGCCAACCTCAATTTATGTCAAAGAGGGTTAAAAGACCTTGGGATTAAAGCAATAAACTTGCTGCTGTCAAAGCTAAAACCCGCTAACAATTTAGTGCCAAACGCATGTTGTTCAATATCATTTCATATTATATTATGTCACAAAGAGCTGGCGGTGCGGCATCACCCTGACAAGGCTGATTTACTCTGAAGGATTCATCGACAGTCTGCACAGTCCAAGTGGACTTCATTTTGCTTGAATGGACGACGGGAAATGTCTCTGCACTCGAGTTCGAATATTAGTCTGAAAATCTCTTTCAGATTAAACATTCAGGAGGACCTTGGGCCACAGCTTGTCAAAGTGAGGTCTTTGAAAGGCAGGTAAAGACTTTTCTCATTGACAAGAATTGTTTTGTTTTAAAAAGGAGAGACGGCAGTAGGTATCTTTCTGTTATTGTTTTACATACCCTAAAGTAGTTGCATCGTATTTGACAATACTTCGAAGCTGTGCATAAGGTTTTCACATTGCCTACGGAAGACCTCAGAAGAATCAATGCATTTGAATTGCGGCGCTGGAGAAGAATCTTGAAAGTTCCAGGGACTGCCAAAAGAATAAATCAATCCGTGTTGGAATAAGTAAGGCCAGCATGCTCCTGTGAGGCAAGGATGGCAAGACTTCTTCTTACGTACTTTGGACACACTCTCAGGAGACACCAGGCCCTGGAGAGGGACATCGCGCTTGGTCAAGTGGAGGGGGTGAAAAAGAGGCAGGTCCTCGAGGAGATGGACGGACACAGTGGCTGCATCAGCGGGCTCAGGCAGAGGAATAACTGTGAGGGTGGCCCAGGTGCAGGCAGTGTTTCATTCCACTGCACTTAGGGTCACTTTGAGTCAGAGCCAACTGGATGGCACCTAACAACCACAACAACAACAACAACGGGGTCTTCATTAGATAATGGTTAAACTTGTGTGTTGCCAACTGAAAGGTCAGAGATTCAAACGCACGTTTCAGTCCTCAGGAGAGAGACTTGGCGGTCTGATCCCTTAAAGATGACATACACCCTTGGGAACCTTAAGGGGAAGTTGTGCTCTGTCCTATGGGGATGCTTTGGACATTGGGCATGTTGGCTGTACTTTGGACATGCTATTAGGAAAGACCAGTCCCTGGAGAAGGACATCAAGCTTGGAAAGTAGCAGAGCGGTAAAAAGAGGAAGGCCTTCGACAAGCTAGATTGACCCTGCGTCCCTCTGCCCTGGGGCGTTCAAGCACATGCACAGTTGTGAGGACGGTACAGATTGGGCAGTGGTTTCATTTCACCCTGTTGTGCATTGTCTTGTTGTGAGTTGCAACCAACCCAATGGCACCAAATAACAGCGATATCGGGGCACCGTGACACAGAACCGACTCTGTAGTGACGGAAGTGAGTGAGTTCTTAGTCAACTCTTAAAAGAAAAAAACAATGGAACAGGAGGATGTTTTTCTTGGACTGCACATTACTCATCAAAAAAGAAGAAGAAACAAAAATGTAAGTGATGTTACTCACCTTATTTTCTGAATGATGTGGACCCATGGCCCATGATTCCACTTTCCCCATTTCATTCTTGGGGGAAAATGCAAGAACAACAACAAACCCAAGAGCAAACCTCGGTGGAGCTGCCAATGCACCAATGCTGCCATTGTCCCGAGGTACCAGGACAATGGATGTCTAGGGCACAGGTTCAGTGAGACAAGAGGCTTGCCTTGCCAAGAGCTTGTACATGAGTGTTCATCAGGGTGGGCAGTGCTATGGATGGACAGTACAGAAGAGAAAGTGGCTCTGGAGTTATATACCTGTGCTTGAGTGTGTTGAGTGCAAACTAGGAGGTTTCTAACCTTCAACCCATGACTATACTAGCTATCCTAACT